GGGGGCAGCATCAGCAGGTGAAAGTTACCTGCTATGACACCTGGCCATGGAAGCCGCCGGCAGACAGACAGATTGCTTATACGCCACGGTGGCCACTTCTACCGCTTCTTCCGCTCGTTTCGCCAATGTGAATAAATTAGCTTTATTCCGCAACTTTGGTTGCTTTCAACTTTACTTATCGATTTCCGTGGCACCTCACTTCCATTCCACTCGCCTTAAAGTCGAGCCACCAGAATCTCTTTAGTCCCTGGACAAAGATTCGGTTTTTGGTCTTAATGAAAACTCACGCTGGTAACAACAACAACAACCGCACAACAAACCCACGCCCTCAGCAAATCATTTAAAATTGTACAGACACATGCCACGCCCTCGCCGCCCCGCACTTGTACACACACACACACACATGGGACAAAAAGAAGAAGCATCAGCCACAGAGAATGAAGGTGAAATTGTTGCTAAAAATGCGAAGCGTAAAAATGCAGCGTACGTGCAAAATGTACCGCAAGCAGAGGCGTGGTTAAAAGACGTGTGGAGAGGGGATGGGGGAGAGGTGGTTGGAGCAGCGGTGGTAAGTCATGTTGCCCCATGGAAAAGCCAACAAACCTTGGCTCAAAGTTTTCAATGCGCGCGTAGCGAAAACAAAAGGTTTTTTATTGAATTTTGAAATGCTGCTACGCTGAGGTGAAGTCCCTGTTCTTCCCCTTTTTCTCATTCCATCAACCCTTCGACCCATATTTCAATAGTGATTTTGCAGGTGTATGTGTGCGTTGAGTGAAAAAGCCGCGACTGTCACGCTGCATTTGCTGCAACGAGCTGTAGAAACAGCAACAGCAGCAGCAGCATCACCGAGCAGAATACCTTAGCCAGGTGCAACTTGGGCTCAACCAAAGCCAGCACGTGCTGGCGGGGGGTATACACAGAAATATATTTATAAGAAAAACGTTTACTTAAATATTTGAAAATAATAATACAAGTTTCCAGTACATGGTTTTGAGCAACGATTGAGTAACAGTTTGGAAGCTACTACTTATAGTGATTATACATGCTGCCTAAAAGTAGGCAAGGTAGCATGAACAACTTAATTAAGTTTCAAACCTTCCTTGTAATACTACTACTAGGCAGCCATTCAACAATAATTTTACAGGAATCTTTATCTTAACTTATCAAAGGGTAACATTTTCCTCTCACTGCATCAGAATCTGCTCCTAGGGAGGTTGCAGATTTTCCACATCGCCAGGGCGATCAAAGTTTAGCGAGGATATTTTAAAGCTTGTCAAAAACGTTGCAATAAATAAACGTGGCGAGCTAAAGACTGCGCCCTAAAGCGTCTCCAAGGAGCTTGGAAAAGGCGACAAGGGTTGCTGGTTCTTGGTGCAAAACATTTGAAAGCGCTTGCGGGTAAATAACGTTTAACGGGAATGCTTTCACCTTCGGCTAGTTGACCCCAGGCACCTGTCAGTATTTGAGGCAACAAGGGAAAGGAAGCGAAGGAAATTTAATTTACACGAAAAATTAAATGTTTATGTGAATGACAGAGCAGCTTCTTTTGAATAAAATCTGCAGAGAAATTTTTGATTTAAAAACTATTAAAAGGTAATTGCCAATAGCTGTAAATTGGTTGAATGAAATCGATTTTATTGATAAAATTCTTATTGAAATTTGTGGAATAAAAATAAGCAAAAGTTAAAAGCAAAAGGCTATTTATATTACTTATTGCATAAAAAGTCTTTAACTATCCTTTACAGCCTGAATTCCCTATCCTTATTTCATCGATAATATCTTCATTCATCCAAGAACTCTCTAGAAAAACCGACCAACAAATTAGGACGAAACTTTTTGCCCCAATTCGAATGAATTACTAAGAAGTGTCCTGGCAAATGAAATGATAATGAAATGATTACCTGGAGAAGATTTCGAGATTTCTTTTCATGGTAAGCCCCCACACACACAGAGTCACAATTAAGCCTTTAGTCAATGCCCTCTCTTGACCAACCTCTCCTTCCGATGTGATTACATAAATCCTGAAGAAGAAAAAAAAAAAATACGGTTGGTGGGACTGTGGGTGAACCTTTTTTGATTATGATTGGGACACATGGGAGAAATGACTGTTGGTGGTCTCAATATGGCTAAAAGCCAAGCGAGAAAGCCACCAGGTCCTTGGGTATTAGGCTAATTGCTGGACCAACCTGAAAAGATATCCGGATCCGGATTGAATCTGTGTAGTGGATGCAACTCCTCGACTCATGTCAATGCCAAGCCAAGTTTAATCAACGTTCCACAGACTTTTTTATCGCTCTCTCTGGCTTTTTTGTGATGTTCCCTTAGATCCTATAGTTTATAATACACTTTCTGAAGGTTTACTATTTGAATGGAATTTTCTAAAAATACAATTAAAATATCAAATAAATAGTTTTTTGCTTAGATGTTGATATGACGTTTAAGGAAATTTTAAAAAACGGATTTTAATTTTAAAAAATATCCGTTTTGACTATCACTTCAAGACCGTATAAGAGTATTTGTCGCATCGCACTCTACTACAGCTACTTTCTGTTTAGTTTTACGTATATATTCAGCCTGATGTTGGCAAATTAATTCAGGAAATTCAATAAAAACAAGCACCAAAACATGGCAAACAAAACTCGTCGAGTCGTCGAGAATTTGCCCTCAATGCTCGCAGCTCCATGCAATCAAAGAGTGCATAGATAAATCACCCGGCTAAATCCAGAGGGTCTGGGTGCCATCGGAGCGGAGGGCAAAGGAGGTCTAGATGCCTGTGCTGGGCGGCGGTGGGTTAAAAAACACGGCCAAAATGTCAATGCAAATTTAATGGCTGACAATTTATATGCATGCCAAGTGACTTTTGGCCAACTACTGAACTTTGTGTGAATGCGAAAGCAGCCGGGGAACTGGGGACAGTTTGGAGTAGCAGGAGCACAAAAACCGTTTGGTGGGCAAATTCAATGGTTGAAGGAGGGTTGGCTAGAAAAAAGTTCTGAAGGTGCCAAGTGGCTGTCAAACTTTAGCCAGCAAAGCGGGCGAGAAGGAATTTCTCGCCCAAATCGAATCGAATCGAATGGCATGGAAATGCGAAATGCGAAATCGAATGAAATTCCTCGTTTGTCCTTGTTGCCGCTGCTCATAAATTAAGCCAACGCATCCCATGTACCACCTACTTCCTTCTCCTCCTGCACTCCATGTTAACATTAACGGTTTATTTATGTCGCCGCCGACATTTAAAATGCATTTCCTGCGACCAGGTTGGGCCCCAAAGATGAAACCAAAAGAAATGGCCAAATACCGGCGGAATAAAAAAGAGAGGATTAAGAGAGGTGCTGAACGGGCAACCGAGAGGCAGATGGAATAACTTTAAGACGTGTATTTATAACGCAAACCGGAAACTTTATGGCGTCGCATCGGGCGCATAAATACGGTCGAGGTGTCGACGTGACTCCGGAAGTGGCCAGGGAGGAGATCCGGAAATATGCCTCCGGGAGGAGTACTTAAGTACGGAAAAATGTGGGTCAACTAAAAAACAAAATGATAGGAGAACCTTAAACAGCTTTGATGGCTTAAGAAGTATTGTAAATATATAACTATTGTAAATTATAAGATTTAAAGAGGTATAAAATTATGTGGGGATATCTCTAAAAAACCCCCAACCAAGTTTATCTTCCTTAGGAAAGGTGAAAGCATCTCAAGGTAGTAAAGTAGTAAAGTACAAAGGGACAAACGTTACCCAAAAAGGGTAAAGACTTAACCAAAGTCAAGAGAGACAAGAACCAATTCATTTTCGAGAGACACCTGTAAACATCTTAATCAAGTTAAATAGAATGTAGTAAGCAATTTGTCAAATATGAAATACTAAATGGTAAAACCAATTCTTACATCACTGTCATTTACATGTCTAAATTGTTAAATTAAATCATTAACATCGTGTAAGCCATATTTATTGACATCTCTGGTGTTCATAACACCCACAAGCTTTGATTATTATCGCAGACCCTTCTCCCTCTTATCTACAGGCGGTATTGTGGTCAAATCCCTTCTGTTGTTATCAATCAACCGCATACAAGACACTCACAAGTGGCCAATAAATTATTAATTAAGTTGAAAATCAAGCCGGCAAACAGCAATGCTCATGATTGATGACTGATTGGGGAGAGGGCGTTGCCTTGTTACGAATCTATCATCCAACTGTCGTCGAACTTAACCAATCGGAAGACAATAAGACCTACTGTGCCACGTGGGCATTGCATCTCGGACTTCTGGCCTGGTAATTTCCAATGACAACAACAATACCAACTGAATTGGTTCGGTTTTGCAATGTGCAGCATAACAAAAGTCGCTTGTTTTTGACCAACAGCGGCAACAGCGGCAGAGCCAAGCCACAAGAAGTTGGCCAGTTCGAAGGGTTTTTGCTTTCGGGAACAACGTTATGCACTTAAAGACAAAAGAAACATTTGAAACAATCAAACAAAAAACCAAATAACAAAGAAAAAAGCCTAAGAACTCTTTCGACTATTTGACACCCAATAAAATAAAAATATTTTCAAAATGAACCATAAAAGATAAAATAAAACACACTGAATTTGAGGTCTAAAATGATATCCACTCGATTTATTAATATTTATAATACCACATGTTGAAAACCACATGACCTGTACAGAAATTCAACCACTAAAAACCAAATACAATATTCATAAATTAAAATATTATATTAAATATAAAACGCATTATATACCTTTGTAGTACCTCCTACCAAACGCAATACACCGAAACGAAACCCAAATAAAAAGGGTTGCAAAAAGCCGGGCAGCAAAGTTGGCAAATCAGCCACAAACTGGGCAGGGAACGGAGGAGTGTGGATAAAAAGCTTTGGCGGCTCGAGGCGAGTCCAGTAGACGGCGATAAGCGGGCGTGGCAGCCTCACCAACAAAACACAGAGGAATACGAAGGACGGCAGCCATCTAGGATAACAAGGAGCAGCAGTGGCATCAGCTATGTGGCCGGCTTGGCAACTGATAACGCTGCTGGGGCTTCTGGCCAGAGTTTTGGCCCTTCACTCAACGCCCGACAGAGCCATGGCCATAAGCGCGGCGCTGCTTGGCCAGGACTTTGAGGATTTTCAGCCATACTTCGCGGAGAAGAAGGAACCGGTAAGAAAACCGCCAATTATTGAGAGAAAAAGTATACGCCACGTTGAAATCAACTTGTTTTTCTTTAATGTATATGCAATTTCTGACCATTTTATTTATATTTCAGGAACCGGATCAGTTGGTGGCCGCCACAAAGCACGAAGAACACTCCGAGGGCGGCGAGGAGGAGTCTGGCGAGGAGCATCACAGCGAGCACTTCCACAAAAAAGGAGGCAAAAGTAAGAAGGGTCACAAGCACGACGAGCACTCCGAGAAGGGTGAGAAGGGTCACCACGATAAGGAGGGCAAGAAAGGGGAGCACGGCGAGGAGGAGGGTCACGAGAAGAAGCACAAGCACTCCGAGTCGCATCACAAAAAGAAGAAGAAGGGCTCCAAGGGCGAAAAGGGCAGCGAGTTCGAGGATCATGGCTCCTACAAAAAGGGTCACTCCATCAAGGGCAAGCACAATGTCCACAAACTAGACGAGAACAAAAAGGAGAAAAAGTTCTACGACGAGGATCACAATGAGGGCGGTGAGGAGAAGCACGGCGGATTCGAAGAGTCCAAGAAGCATAAAAAAGGCAGCAGCTTCAAGAAGGGTCATCACAAAAAGGGTGGACACGAGGAGCACTACGGCAAGAAGGGTCACAGCAAGAAGGGCCACAAGAAGAAGGGTCACAAGGGACACAAGAAGAAGCACGAGGAGTCCAAGAAGTGGGGCCACAAAAAGGAGCACGGCAAGAAAGGTGGCGAAGACCACAAAAAGAAGTGGCATAAATCCAAGAAACAAAGCAGCGAACACGATCATGGACATCATTAAACTTCCAGTTGACCTTCTTAGGATTTTTACTATTTTATTTTGTATTTTGTAAGCATTAAAAACAGATCATTCAGACCCAGTTAAGAACTCTTTTCAATGTTTTGTTTACATCTTTGGTAAACTAAATCATCTTATAAGCTGGAATAGTAGTAGTCCTTGTTCACTTAGATATAATATTTAACATGTACTCCATGCTGTAATCGCATTCAAAGCCCATTCAGGTCACCGAATATGACGCCCATGTCCCATATAGCTTAACATGTATAATGAACACAAAATGTCTTTTGAGGACTTGTCATAGTTATCTTTAAATTACCGCCCGAAAACAGCAAGTATTCATGCTTGTATCTGCTTAAAAAGAGATTATGCAGGACATATTTGCCACGCACTCACACAAGCTCATCAGGGAGATTAAAGAAAACATAATTAGGAGCAAAATCTGAGCCATCTTTGGCCAAGGGTTCACAGATCAATTGGCGATGTTTGGCCTGTCCCTTTTGCACACACCTGCAATGAACTAATTGCCAAAAGGTAAGTGAAATATGAATATGGCACAGAGAGAGTAAGAGAGACTAACCCTACCGTGCCAAAGGTTAATTACGCATACTGCAGGTCATTCCCTTACTTGCCATTCTGTCCCAACACACACTCACACTGAGATTTGCACACTTTAGCGTACATATATGCATGGCAACGTGTGTGTCTGTGTTTGCTTAAGCCATTTCCGGTTCGATTTTAGCCCAAATCTTGTCCATTTTCTAGCCTAAGCAAACAAACGGAAACTGGCTTAGTTGGAGCAGCCGTTGGGGAGTTGGGCCGGGCCAAGAAGGGCAAGGAACCAGCCAGGACAACCGGCTCTGTTTGGTTCCATATGCTAATCCCTACGACCAGCGTCATAAATCATTTTCAACCAACTGGAGAATGGATGAAGGCTAAAGGACGTAGGGGTCTGCAGGACAATAGAGGTCGGGGTTAAGTAAAGTTCGTCTGAGCCTAAAAGCATTTGACGATGCCCTCTCACAGGGAGTTCAACCAAATACTTAAATTTTGGTTTTTTCAAATTTATTTCAAAATTTATCTATAGATTTAAGTAAAATATTTAAGTGTAAAATTTATGAAATTATATTTTTCTGAACCTCTTTAATCAATCTTCAAGAAGTTACTTTCAAAAATGAAATGGATTTCAATGTTTTCTTACCTTTCTCAAGAGTATTTCAATCTTCTTTTCCCATAACTACACTTGCCTTCCCCTTTATTTTCGGTTTTCCGCTGGCTCTCCCTGGCATGAGTTATGCTGCAATCTGTGGGAAGCAGAGTATAAAAAAATGTATGCCAGATCCATTGGGATCTGGATCCTGCATTGCCGCACAACAACTGCAAAGACCAATAACAACAGCATGAATATAACAAAAGCCGTAGACCCAGACCGGAGAAGAAGCTTCATCTGGGGCTCAAAAAGCAAGTTTTTGTCTGGCTCAGCTTTCGTCTTTTTGGATTTTGTGTGAGTTGTAACTGCAAGGTGAACAGTCAACAGTTGAAATTCGCATAACTATAGTTACACTGAGAAAAACTGGGAAGCCTATATTACAACTTGTAAAAATGTAAAAAAACCTATAATCCTATGGTTGGGAAATCAGATATGTAAACTTCTTAAATCAAAACGGAATTCAGCTAAGAATATAATATCCCTTTTCCCTGTGCAAGTGTTTGCGTATATGTTGTTTCTGTTATTGTTTTTTGAAAATTGCCTGAGCAGCAACAACAAATATGGGAAAACCTGGAGTATGGAGCAGGGGCAGGAGCAACAAGAATCCCACATGGCCACTGGGCAAATGCATTAACGAAAGTGGCTGAGAGTGCAACAGTGGCGTCAGCTTGTGGGGATGCCCCGCACATGGGAGGATGGGGTGTAAAGGTTGCCGTGAAGGGGTACGGGAGAGCAAACCAGGCATTGCCGTGTGGGCTGGTGTATCAGCACTAAGAGATCATAATTCACACAAGTCGGCTAATAATTCAGTTAAGTTGAAATGCGCAACACACAAGTTGCACAGTTTCCACCAGCATGAGGGCGGGGAAATGTGAACGCTGATGAAGTTGGCCAGTGGATGGGGTACAAGAGGTTTTCTAGGGGGTCAGAGGTTAAGTGCCGCCACCACACACACACAACCCCTCGTGGGAGCCATTAGGAGGAGGAGCAAGCGGGCGAGAAGCTCTCCAATTTGGGTTTATGGTTTCAGTTTGAGAACTAGTTAAGGAGTGGTTTCTAAATACCATAAATTAATATATACTAATATTAATAATTAAAAGTTACAGAGAACGTTGAAGATCTTTGAACTTTAAAATTATGGAAATAAATCTTTTTATATCGAAAAAACAGTAAATAGATTAAAAATTTACCAATAATGAGTAACCGAAAAGGGTTATTTATTATTTAAGTTTTATTTTTATGGCAATTCTGATAATAAATCAATTTTAAGTTTTCTCGTATTTTAAATTAAAGAAAATTTTCCGTCTTGATTAAATATTTTATTTCCTTTATTTAATACCCCCATCTTTGTAATCCCCACACCCATTTTAGTATTTGCAATCTGAGACTGGCTGGCAGATAGTGCAGCAGTTTTAAGGGATTTTCAATGTTCTTGCAAATTAGTTTCAGCCTCCCAAGTGAGTGAGTGTGTGTGTATGTGGAAAAGTTTATTGTTTATGAGGACCAAAAGCTTCTTCTTCTGCCTTGACTTTTGGTCCTGGTTACAGCCATGTTGTTGTTTGGCTCTTTTGCTGTTGCAAAGTCTGTTCTCTGTTTGCTGTGGTAAAGTGCACCCTTATTTTTCTGCCAAAAGGCTTAACCATTTACTGAAAAGGGGAAACTTCCGCGATATTTGTTAGTTCTTTACATAGAAAACTAATTTAGCTGTCTAAAAGTTTAATTTGGCTCAACATTTCTGCTTAAATTCAATGTTTAAAACCAAGAACCTCTTAAAAATAAACATAAATAATAGGCAAATTAAGAGGACCACCGAAAAGAGCAAAGAAATTGACCATTATAGCCAAGGTTGGGGTCATTTGGGCTTAAATTTGCTGGGGTGATGCATCTGCTTGGGGACAATTAGGACAGCTCGTAAATATGCCAGAATGCGCTCGGATGCATCAATGAATGTGTCAATGATTAGGCACGCCGGGACAAAGGACACGATGCCCACGATGATGGCGCAAATCGAAATGTTGCACTCCGCATCGATGGGGTTCTAGAGGGGAAAGTGGTGGGTGGTATATGACGTCAGCGCCTAATGCAACTGCAGTGTAATGTTAGGGGGCTACGGAAATGTGAAGCCCGATCGTCGAGGGTAGAGTGATGACGGGGTGTGGTAACTGCAGGCCATAATCAAGCGAATGGAAGCAAAGGACAACGACTGCCACGATACACAGGTGCACTGGAAAAAATTATTGAATTTTCACATAAATTTTATTTTTATTATTTCTTCTTGATTATTTTAAAATTTTGCTGATATTGGAAATTTTGCTCACCACACATAATTACTTTAAAAGATTAAAGATAAAAGCAAATTGAAGCGTTTTTTAAGCTGATAAGCAACTCGTGTTATCAGTTAGATAAGAAAATAATGAAATTGATAAAAAATTTAAGGCAAGTTTGGGTATAATATTTGTATTAAGCTATATTAACATTAACTTAGATTTTATATATCACACAACATTTCTTCCAGTGCACATACACCCGCACTCGACCGAAGACAGACACACACACAAACATGGCCGTGCCATTGCAGTCAATTTATTGTGACCAATATAACGCCCGGACTGACTCGCCGGATGGCTCCTGTTCGTTGGAACTTGTAGAGTGGCGAGGAAGGAGAGCAGTGGGTGGTAAATGAGAGGGGGGCAGGAGTCGCTGGGTGCATGTAAATTGAAAATTATGGCAATGCGCAACAAGATTAGCCAATGGCTGGGTGGTCCTAGTGGTGGTGCTGGCGGTTCGGAGCCTTCCTAACAAGACCCAAATGAATTTATCGAGATGGGCAGAGATATGGAAGGTTCTGGATGTACGCGAGTTGCACAAACATAAACTAAATGAATGCCCATGGCCGCCAAATGAAGTTATGACTTAATGTATACAGTTATCCATGCATATACATATATATCTATATATATATAGACAGCGAATGGCAGAAACAGAAAGATAGCAGTCGAAATATCTCTCAACGAAAATAAAGTTATACGGAATATATGATATGCAGATTTCGGGCAAAAGTTAGCAGAGCCTAGAGGTTAAAAAAGAATCAAAAACGAAGAGTAGACTTATTGTGGAACTCAACATCATTATAATAATATTTTAAGCTGTACTGGAAAAATATGAATATTTTGTATGCAAATATTTTACTAATTTACGTTTTTTTTTTACTATTTTATATAAATAGTAATGGATGTTCAAGGCAAATTTTAAGTGAAAAACATAGCAAAAGAACTAGAAAGTTTTTACAATTCATGTTTCCTTTGTAACACAACAAAGTTTTTCTAGTTTTTTTAACTATTCCTACAAGAAAAATCTTTATATAAATGAACTAAATGTCAAGGAAAAACATGATTGGCGTACATTTTAGCTCATAATTCTAATATACATGAAAAGGATTTTAGCCAGGACACTTACGAGCACACACACCGAGAAACACAGCAAAGTGCCTTGGGAATCGAGTGGCAAGGGGTGCATATCTTAGCTTCGATGTGTCAAATTCATTCCACTTTGGTGCTCTGCAGTCAGCTCCACTCAAGCATTTTTCTGCGCCATTTTGACACAGAATCCAAAACACTCAGTCACTCACACTCATCTGCAATGCGGGGGATCTCACCCCCCGGCCCCCTCAGAATTTTCCAATGAATCGCAGGCAGATTCTCATGCTGCTCATGCTACATGCTGGATACTGCATGCCACATGCACTGGCTGCCTTATTATGCAAATGTCCCGACTCGAGATGCGCTCTCGCCAACGTCATCGATTTATAAGTTATGCAAAAAGCGGGAGTTTGAATTTACCAATCCCCCTGTCATCCAACATCCAACGCCCCTGACTTATATATATCCGTATCTTTTGCATCTGAAACATCGGGACTTTGACTGTTTGACTACTTTGTAAGCATGGATTTACGTTGTAGTTGCCACTTTTGCTGACTGCAATCCGAAAATTTAGCAAAATCAATCTGAGCGGTGAGGCACTGAGAAAAATAATTTGCTTAGGAAAAGCAAACTTCATAAAAAATAAAATTCCAAAAGATTTTCTATGCTATTACATGTGCAAGTTGCATTTTTAAACAAGTATTTAATAACATATATTTTAGTATATAATTGATTCGTAATTATTGATTCTTAACGATTGCTAATATAATTTTTTCACAGGTATGCATAATTTTTAAGCTCCATTTTTAACAATTGTTTACCATTTCGCTTTTAACTATTTTCTAATTGAATAAAATAATAGTTGAGATTGACCCATTAAGGCAAGTTCCTGTTTCCTTTTCTAAAAGACCTTCTGCGTGATATCGAAGAGTCCCTCCCAGGTGATCTCAAATATTCCATATGTGCGAATAACGCCTTTGTACAGGCCGTTCGGAACATATTGCGGAAATTCATCTGTTCTTACCTGGCACCTTTCGAATGTGAACTTCTGGGCCGAAATCAAAACCAAAGTGTCATTGAACTGAGGAAAATTCGAGCAGTCGGCGGCACTTGGCATGATGATTTTCTTGTAGAAATTATTCATGGCCTGATAAACAGTTTGTCGGGGTATGGAATACGGCTGGATCTGGAAGGTCTCACCGCCATCGGTGCTGCGATAGATTTTTGTATCCATTTCCATATCATCGGGAACATCTACATTAGTATAAAGGCTACCACTCAGTCCATATTCTCCCCGAGCAATGCGAACGATATTACATTCTCCTCCGCCCAAATCGGGATTACTTGTCGTTAGCGATACCGCTATTAATGTATACTCCCAGGATCTCTAATTTAAATAACACTTTTTAGGACCTTATTAAAAAATGTATTTTATATTAAAGAGCTTACTAGATTCCTTGCATCTTTGACAACCGACACGGCCTCCGTCATAAATCCAGAGATCAGAAGTACGAAACTTGTACAGTATACGGACTGCATTTTATTTTTGTAATAAATCTGCATTGGAATTTGAGTTTTATTTATATCCGAATTTTCAAATTAGTCAACGAGATGTCACACGTAATTATTAAATGTGTTTACATCTTCATGCGATCGTTCTAATTGATAGAACAAACAATTTCAAACATCCAATCTTGCTCCCGCTTATGATAAAGTTATCTAATATCAGATTCTACCCGTAGTACCTGTAATCTGGGGTGGATTGAAGAATAAACTGACTAGTTTATTATTGTAAATTGAATATACATATATTATTTTTTATGATTCTTTTATTTTTTTGTACCGTGTGAAATTGGTAAGAGTATTAAAACAACGCTCATAGCTTAACCTTATTGTCTGTTAACTTTTTCGCCATTTTCACTGATTGATTCTGGACAAAAAACAACAAGACAAAGAGGGGCAAAAATCGACTCCTAACTAGAACAAGAGCAGATGGAGGAATGGATAAAAGAGGCAAAAGAGTAGGACAGCAAAAAAAGATTTAAATCATCGGTAAATATCTTTTTTCAATGCAAATTTTAATCAAAGTTTTTGCCACCACAGTGAGTTTTATTCTTTGCTCAACATGGGGAAAAAAAAAAGGAAGGAGGAAATGAAATTTTTTTTATTTACTTATTTATTATTGGGCGAATAAAGAGGGTTTTAAGCGACCCTCGCTCAGACAATTATCGCGAATTGATTAATTTAAAATTGCATTTCTGTGCATTTAAATAGCAAACTAATGGCTTGCATGATTAATTGATGGCAATTTTTATTGAGGGCATTTAAAACCATGCAATATAAGTGGAAGAAATTGAGCATGTACAAAATTAATTTAATTTCGGGGCATACTTTACCATGTTATATGTTATGATTTCTTGTTTTAAAAATTTAAAATATATACTTATAATTGGACCAGCTATTTATAGTTTATGGTCTTAATCGGAAGAGGAATGTACATATATACATAGTTCTTCGTTTAGTAATAATCTGTTTATGATTATGATGTTTATTATCACGAAATTAAATAAGTTAAAATATGTTAACTTTCTAATTGCTCTTTATAATACAAAATTCTAAAAAACTTTATATGAATAATTATTAACTTCAATTAAAACCTAAAACTCTACGATCAACCCTCACACTTCTTCAAGCCAGTGTGGCCACACCGATACTTAGCTCCATCTCCCTTCTGTGCATAACCCTCTACTCCCGCCATCTCGCTCTCGCTCTCCGATTGGCAAAAGCTTCGCTCGCATTCGATATCAGCTCACAACTTCGTTTCGAAGCTCGCGATCACAAAGCTCACGATCGAACTGGAAGATATCGAAATCGAATCGCCAAGGAGAGCTTTTCGAAGTGCGAGCGTCGACGTTCAATTTCTCAGTCGGTTTTAGTTCGTTCTGTTGGATCACACTCAGCAATCACACGTTCGCAAGGTGAACGCGAAGACACAGCAAAGTAAGCTTACCTCCGAACACCCACCACCCCACACACGCCCACCAAGAAAATAAGTAAAGTAAAACAATGTTCTCAACGAATTAAATAGCTAAAAAAAGCGGCATTAAAATCCGCCTTGAATTCGCCCAGAAAAAAGTGACGAAGTAGCGATCAAAGCGGAGGAGAAAAACACGCACACAAGTTGCAAGTGTGTTAGATAATAAGTGCAGCACAAACACACAAACAAGAAAAACCATCGAAAAAACAGAAAATTAATTAGTTTTATAAAGCCGATCAGAAAAGTGCGGTATGAAATCGTGAAAATTTGCTCGTGGAAAATATTTTGCCTTGTCAGCTGACCCCTTTCCCCGTGCTCGCCCCGTCTCTGTCGCACCACGGGTCTTGTGATCGCCGCCTCTTCCTTACTCTCTTTCTCTCTTATTCCGAACTTCGAAACAGAAGTTGGAGTTTTCGGTTTTTTTTTGTGGTAATGAAAAACCAATATGGAGACTTCGGTATGAAAAGGCGGCATCGAAATTCTTTCCTTTTCCCTCACCCACTTTTTTTCATTTGTCAGCTGACGGCAATGACAGTAGTCTTGTGATCAACGTCAAAAGCAGTTGTCAAATATTCGAACTCGAATGGAGAGAGCCAGAGCGGAGAGTTGCTCTCCCACTCTCAGCTCTCTTGTTTTTTCTTCAGATAAATATTAAAACCCGCATATTTTGAAAAAAAAAAAAACAAGCATTTCAATTACATTCTGCAGCTCACATTGTTAGCCTGTGTGTGTTTTTTCACAGTTAATATTTTATTTATTTAACGATTAGTTAAGCAAATTACTCTTTTTCGAACTTTCAAAGCTCTGTCACGTGAAACGAAAGCTCTACCTTTTAAGTTTTACGCAGCATAATCGAAGAGGGGGAGTTAAAAAAAATAATTAAATCAATGATTAGTAGGTTTTGGTTATAAAATATAACCTTAAATTGGTTAAATACGTAGATTTTCTAGAAACTTAACCTGTACGTGGGAGAGATAATTACTCTGCTCTCTTTGTCAGCTGACAAAACTAAACCAGCAATTAGTGATAAGAAAATTTTCACCTCAGCCCTTTTCCAGCCAGCATTTTATAATTTTTCCTCTCCGATTTTCCCTTGCAGTTGTAGAAACAGAATAAAGCAAAATGTCCAACCTTAAGCGTTTCGATGATGAGGAGCGTGAGTCCAAATATGGACGTGTCTTCGCTGTCTCTGGTCCTGGTAAGTATTTATTAATTTAATGATGTAGCGCGTGTTTTTTTTTTTTACTTTTTCAATATTATGGATTTGTATAGCAAGCATGTATACACGTATTGTGTGTGTATGTGTAAAACCTTCATTTAATTAACCCCATAAAAGTTAACTTTCTAAGTTTCAATATCTTTTCCTTTTATAATAGCTTTTAAAATGCAGTATCTGTATTTCTAAATGTATGAAATCTTCCTTCATAATAACTATCAATGGGAGATAAACAAAATTATTTAAGAACTTATCCAAATCATATCTTTTTCATATTATTGTAGTTTTTATCAAGCATTTTATCAAAAGAAGAACATTCAAATCTTAAATCTCCAATTCTAAAACTAAAACACCTTCACATATCAGACTAAAAATGTAGCCCAACTAACCACATCAACCGCTTCATTCCAGTCGTCACCGCCGAGGCCATGTCTGGATCAGCTATGTACGAGTTGGTCCGTGTGGGCTATTACGAGCTGGTGGGTGAGATCATTCGTCTGGAGGGTGACATGGCCACCATCCAGGTGTACGAGGAAACTTCTGGTGTGACTGTCGGTGATCCCGTGCTGCGTACCGGCAAGCCCCTCTCCGTCGAGCTGGGACCCGGTATCATGGGCAGCATCTTTGACGGTATCCAGCGTCCCCTGAAGGACATTAACGAGCTGACCGAGTCCATCTACATCCCCAAGGGTGTGAACGTGCCCAGTTTGTCGCGTGTGGCCAGCTGGGAGTTCAACCCCCTGAACGTCAAGGTCGGTTCCCACATCACCGGAGGTGACCTTTACGGTCTGGTGCACGAGAACACCCTGGTCAAGCACAAGATGATCGTGAACCCCCGCGCCAAGGGAACAGTGCGCTACATTGCCCCATCGGGCAACTACAAGGTCGACGATGTCGTCCTGGAGACAGAGTTCGACGGTGAGATCACCAAGCACACTATGTTGCAGGTGTGGCCTGTGCGTCAGCCACGTCCAGTGACTGAGAAGCTGCCCGCCAACCACCCCCTGCTCACCGGACAGCGTGTCCTCGACTCGCTCTTCCCCTGTGTCCAGGGCGGTACCACCGCCATTCCCGGAGCTTTCGGTTGCGGCAAGACTGTGATCTCGCAGGTGAGGATTACTATTTATTGTGTTTTTAAGTTCCCCTTATTAATATCCTTAACTCTCCACAGGCTCTGTCCAAGTACTCCAACTCCGATGTCATCATCTATGTCGGTTGCGGTGAGCGTGGTAACGAGATGTCTGAGGTATTGCGTGATTTCCCCGAGCTGTCTGTTGAGATCGACGGTGTAACCGAGTCCATCATGAAGCGTACCGCCCTGGTTGCCAACACCTCCAACATGCCTGTGGCTGCCCGTGAGGCCTCCATCTACACCGGTATCACTCTATCTGAATACTTCCGTGATATGGGTTACAACGTGTCCATGATGGCTGATTCCACCTCCCGTTGGGCTGAAGCTCTTCGTGAAATTTCGGGTCGTTTGGCTGAGATGCCTGCCGATTCCGGTTACCCAGCCTACCTGGGTGCCCGTCTGGCCTCCTTCTACGAGCGTGCCGGTCGCGTTAAGTGTCTGGGTAACCCCGAGCGTGAGGGATCCGTGTCCATTGTCGGAGCTGTATCTCCTCCTGGTGGTGACTTCTCCGATCCCGTTACCTCCGCCACTCTGGGTATCGTACAGGTGTTCTGGGGTCTTGACAAGAAGCTGGCCCAACGTAAGCATTTCCCCTCGATCAACTGGCTGATTTCCTACTCCAAGTACATGCGTGCTCTGGATGACTTCTATGACAAGAACTTCCCCGAGTTCGTGCCCCTGCGTACCAAGGTCAAGGAGATCCTGCAGGAGGAGGAAGATCTGTCTGAAATCGTGCAGCTGGTCGGTAAGGCCTCTCTGGCTGAGACCGATAAGATCACTCTGGAGGTTGCCAAGCTGTTGAAGGACGATTTCCTGCAGCAGAACTCCTACTCTTCCTACGATCGTTTCTGCCCCTTCTACAAGACCGTGGGCATGTTGAAGAACATCATCGACTTCTATGACTTGGCCCGCCACTCTGTTGAGTCGACGGCCCAGTCGGAGAACAAGATCACATGGAACGTGATCCGTGAGGCTATGGGCAACATTATGTACCAGCTGTCTTCCATGAAGTTTAAGGTGGGTTGACATATACTTTCTTTAACATAGAGATTTATTAACCAATCATTTCCAATCAATTTTAGGACCCTGTTAAGGATGGTGAGGCCAAGATCAAGGCTGATTTCGAGCAGCTGCACGAGGACCTGCAGCAGGCCTTCAGGAATCTGGAGGACTAGAGACCGCGTTGGGCCTACTCTTACACTCTAATCTTATATTTGTTATATAGTTAACTTTTAAAAATGAAAGCAGTCAAAAACCATCCGAAAAAACCTAATCAAACACCAACAATTCCGTGCTGCATTCGAAGAGAAACGAAAGTCCAACAAATTCCACAACTTCTTGGTGCCTTCGAGAGATGTAAACATTCCGGCCTGTGGTTAATACTTCCCCTAACCACGCCTCCATCCGCCCAAGGCTACAACAACAACAACTACAACGTCCTTCTATGTACTTCCATTTACAACAACAGCAACAAAAGACGCACACACATACACTTGAATAAAAGTACACGGACACTGGCGCACACACACACAAAACACATACATAAAAGACACAAATACAAATGCATGCTTAAATAGTATTATTGTTTAATGAATGGAAATTCTTGTTTATTTGTGAAAAAAGTCATGTTTTCTCCCTGTTTGTTTGTTAAATTTATGTAAATATTTAAAGTATGAAATATTAAATGTACGAATAAAGTGCAACAACAAATACATTTAATGTAATTGAATGTGGGTTTCACTGTCTGTATATATGGATCTATAAAATTATTGGAAAAATTGATTTTTCTTGCTAACATAAAGTCCGTTTCTGAATCATCTACCTAGTCATTCCATATCCTTCTTTGCTTCTTTGAACTTTTCAAAATTATTTCTTTTCTGAAATTGTAAATTGTATATGTTATTTTGATCAAAATGGATAAAGACAGGAAGCCTTGGATTGCACCGCTAACCTCGAATACCAACAGTAGTGATGATAGCAACCATTCCACCCCTAGGGGTTCCGACTCACCGAGCCAAGAAAGTCAATCAAAACCTATGCCGACGAGCTCGGCTAAGAAGTGTACCTGCCATACCTGCACCTGTAAGCGACCAGAGGCCAAACTTGGCGCCGCAATCTCTCCCATCCAAATTCGCCAAACTGCGACCGAATCCAATGACCAGGACTTGAAAGAATCGGAACGCGCACCATCGATTCGGCTGTCTAATCAATCCGCTAAGAACACGCGCATATCATTGGACCCTTCTAAACTTGATGATTCCCATTTGGGTATGGAGGAGGTGATGGATACTCATCACTATTCATTTGACGAGGAAGAAGATGTACTGCACATGGGTCGAATCTTTGGAGTTTCCGGTCCAGTGGTGAATGCCGAGGAAATGGCCGGGGCCGCTATGTACGAATTGGTTCGGGTGGGTCACTCCCAGCTGGTGGGTGAGATCATTCGCCTCGAGGGCGACATGGCCACCATCCAAGTATACGAGGATACGTCAGGCGTAAGTGTCGGAGATCCTGTCTTTCAGACGGGCAAAACCCCTTTCTGTGGAACTGGGTCCTGGTATCATGGGCAGTATATTCGATGGAATCCAGAGACCCTTGCGAACGATAAGTGAACTGACCAATTCCATTTACGTGCCCAAAGGCATCGATATACCCTCCCTGCCGAGAGACATATCGTATGCATATACCCCCGGGAAAATCAAGATCGAAGATTTGATCACCGGTGGTGATATTTACGGCTCGGTTTTTGAGAACAGCATGATGTCTGATCACCGGCTGATGTTACCTCCGCGGTGCAATGGTCGTGTCAAGTGGTTAGCTCCTGCTGGTAACTACTGCGTGGACGACGTGATCATAGAGACCGAGTTCAACGACGAGATCACACGGCATACAATGCTCCAGGTTTGGCCAGTACGCAAGTGTCGTCCAGTGGAAGACAAGCTGCCCAGCACTTCTCCACTCCTGACAGGCCAGCGGGTCCTGGATGCCTTTTTTCCATGTGTCCAGGGCGGAACAACCGCCATTCCGGGCGCCTTTGGCTGTGGAAAGACTGTCATCTCGCAGGTGAGATTACCATAATAAATGTTTACATAAGGAAAGCAATTGAATTAATTTATGGCGTTGGCCGAAACCTAGAAAACGTTATTTTTATTTGATATATTGTTTTAGATTCAATAATATAATCTATCGAAATCTGATGGAAATTAATTACAATTTATGAGCAATACTATTTTTTCGATATATTTATTTTTTAGGCACATTTGTCTATTAAAATACATTTATTATTAAAATGGTTTATGAATAGTTTACAATATATTGCTTAGATTCAATGATAAAATAATAATGTATTGCTACTTTACCACTTTTTTGACATTTCGTGGTAGTTGATTTTAATAATTTATTGCCTTAGTAAACACTTTTACACAGATTTAAGGACTATAAATATATTTTCATTATTTTAAATCTCTCCTTACTTTAGTCCCTGTCTAAGTACTCCAACTCCGATGTCATTATCTACGTTGGCTGCGGTGAGAGAGGCAATGAAATGTCCGAGGTACTTCGGGATTTCCCACAACTGGAGATTGATGTCAACGGAACCATGGAGTCAATAATGAAGCGCACCGCCTTGGTGGCCAATACCTCCAATATGCCTGTGGCTGCCCGAGAAGCCTCCATCTACACGGGCATCACCCTCTCGGAATACTTCCGTGACATGGGTTACCACGTGTCCATGATGGCAGACTCTACATCTCGATGGGCGGAGGCGCTACGTGAGATCTCAGGACGTCTGGCGGAGATGCCTGCCGATGCTGGCTATCCCGCGTATCTCGGAGCCCGATTGGCCTCTTTTTACGAGAGAGCCGGTCTGGTCAAGTGCCTGGGTAGCCCCGAGCGTGAGGGATCCGTGTCCATTGTGGGAGCAGTGTCGCCTCCTGGTGGTGATTTCTCTGACCCCGTGACCTCCGCCACTCTGAGCATTGTTCAGGTCTTTTGGGGATTGGACAAGAAGCTGGCCCAAAGGAAGCACTTCCCATCTGTGAATTGGTTGCAATCCTATTCCAAGTACATGCGCACACTAGACGTATATTATGAGGAGCCCAATCCAGAATTCACAAAGTTGCGAGCAAAGGCCAAAAAGGTGCTGCAGGAGGAGGATGACCTGGCGGAAATCGTCCAGCTAGTGGGAAAGTCGTCATTGAACGAAGAGGACAAGATAACCCTTGAGACGGCCAAAATGATAAAGGACGATTTCCTGCAGCAAAACTCCTACAGTCAATACGACGCCTACTGTCCCTTCTTCAAGACCATCGGTATGCTCAAAAACATGATGGCGTTTCACGAGGCAGCGATCACGGCAGTCCAGAATACCGCCGAATACGATTCTCGGGTCACCTGGGGATTAATCCGAACACAGGCTGCCAACGTTCTATACGAGCTCTCCACCATGAAGTTCATTGATCCCAAGCTGGGCGAAACGGCTGTTCTTGAGGCCTTGGACAAAATCCATGATAATATCATTGCAACGTTTCGGTACCTAGAGGAGAATGTCGAGGAATTATAATGGTGATACAAATTTTCGATTTACTAATGCCAAAATTACTTGTGTATAAAAATTTTAAAAAGTTTTTAGAAAGTATTTTTATTTTTAAATCAATGGATTATCTGTTTGATTTTTATCTTTACATTATATTAGAATCATTTTTCTATCGATAAAGCTAAGAAAAGATACATTTTAGCGAATAAATGAACTATAAAGTTATCTTAGTTAAGAGCAACATTTAACACCTCTAATTATGTAAAGAAAGTTAATCCGAACTATGCTTACATTTTCCCACATATTAATATGCAGATGAGAACCCATTCGTACTACGATTATCGAGTAATTATTTCCCTCAACTTATCGAGATAATTTTCTAGTCGATGAAAAGTCATTTACCCACTGACGCGTTTTGCTCATTAGAAGCCATAATGGTGCACCGTCTGCCGCCTCCTCTGGAAATTATCCGACCACCTTCCTTTGCGGATTCTCGCCGCAGTTAATCCTTTACCCAACATCAACGTAGAGTCGGGTGGTGGTGAACCCAAAAGGAGATTATAAAAAATTTCGTTGATTTATAGGAAAAGTTTGTTAATGCGCCAAAAGCGGCCACGCCCCGAAAACCGACCAAATTTCCCAAGCTCACACCTCCAGTTCAGCCACAATCCAAAAAGCAAACGTCAAGGCCCTGTGAAGGGCTTTTTTCCGCAGCAAGGGAGCGAGAGATCGATTTCGATTCAATTAGTGGAAATTAAATGTAAGTATATATGTACAAGTCACCACCTCGCCCGCTGCATCGTCCCCATCCCCCCCATTGCCGCTCACTCTGTGGATTGCGATGATTACATTTCCGCAGCCTGAGACCTCCCTCTCCTCCACCCACTTTTCCGCCCACTACGGCAAACCAAGTCAGCCATAAAATGAGCGCCGAGCAAAAGAAGCAAGCCAAAAAATCAGAATCAGTTCAATTGCAAATTGAAAATCCCCTTACAACTTCCGTTTCCGCTATGCGAGGGCCATCACTGAGAGGAAAAGCAAATGTACTGCAAAAAAAGGAATCTAAAAACTATAGAGTTTGCATAAAATGTAGAGCTATTAACCGCATTACGTTTTGAAAAGATGAAAATTAAATGCTTAAAATCAGAAGGATTTCCATCTACAAAATGTTAGTTTAAGTCTTCAAAATTGCTTAGGTTATTTATAATTTCAATAAATTCATTATATATTTTTTAACCTTAACTTAAGAAGTTTTATCTTATTAATCCTTTTCTATTTATAAAACTGATCTTTTAGGTCACAAATAGTCATAGGTCATAGATTTGTCTGTTGTATATTTTTAATGATGTAAAACTATGTAAATTAAATAGGAAAATACTTCTTAAAGTGTGTGTCAAACTCTTGCAGATGTGTGCGTGTGCTTACGAGCGCTTTGTATGTGAGAATGTGTGTGTCAGAAAGAGAGTATGTGGGTGTGTGTGTGTGGGCGTCTGGCTGCCATGACAAACGTGGCGTATGAGCAATGCGCGCTAATTGGCTGCCATTCGATGCTCGCTCCGTTCCGTTCCGTTGGCATCGCTCTGGATCTCAGAGAAGCCGAGTATCCTTGCTCCGAATCCTGCCATCCTGCCAGTCCTGCCACCCTGCCCCTCAACCCCTTGTCTCCTATGCGCCCCACTGAGCTTGCCACCCCTCATGTCCCTGAACCATTTCCCATTTGCGAGTTTGCAAGCTGAAAGCTGCTTGGGCTCAGCTTGGGATTGCGTTGCTGATGGCGGAGTTTCACAGGGCCAGAGCACAGGATTTGGGTTGGGGTTGGAGGTACTGGGGACTTATTGCATAATTTGAAGGGGTTAAGCCATTGAGCTTTAATGCAAAATTTCAATTGAACGTCAAACAGTCAATTCGCTTTAGCGGCGATAATCGTAAAAGGATAATGGCGCTAAAAGCGCATAAAAAGGCAGCAGTCAGGCGGCAAGGACTTCTGAAAACCTCCCAGAACCAGCCCATCCCCTTCTCGATGGTGTGAGTATGTATATGTTGGTGAGTGTCTTTTTTTTTCCATTTTCCGTCTGCTACTGCTGTTTGGCCTAAGTGTGCACTCAATTAAAGGATTTCTTTTCGGGACAGAGGCTAACGGCCACACAATATTGGAATGGTTAGATAAGCTCTGAGCCACTCGTTACCCTTTTGCCCAGATATTTCGCCCTCTCTACATTTTTAAGCCGCTTTTCGGAGTATCAGATAGGGCAAATACAAAACACAAGCATACTTGGAAAACCGAGTGAATGCCATAACCACGACTGCTTAAATATTTCCATGTAATATGGTAGTAAGATTTTACGTTTGTTTAAAAATTTAAAAAAACGATATTTAGTCAGGATTTTTTTTTTAGATAGTTATTTTCATTCCATTATTTCATTTGTTTAAATACTTTATTAATACAGGAATGCGGAAATAATCTTATCGTACTATTAATTGATGGCATTCCAAATCCGATTAAGGTAGATTGATTACATAGGCAATCCAACTCATTAATTAAAAGCTCTTGATATTCTTAACAAAATTAAACGAGGATCAAGTTAGCTGCAGAGGAATTTGGTCTAATGGTATATTTTTTTGTACCTTAAAGTACTTTTAAGTAAGCATTGAAAATTTAGATATATATTTAAGACTTGGATTTATGTTCCTTGTAAAGATAGAATCCGGTCTTGAGACATCTCCCTGATATCCATCTGTTAATTTAAAGTCTCAGCACCCAATTCTTAACCCTTGCCCCCTAACTCACCGCAATCGCTGACAAGTTTAACCCAAATAGGAAGCGTGTGCCGAGGCCAAGGACATGTTTCACTGCTGGTTATTGTTGTTTCTGATTGTTGTTCCTTAGCCGCAGGGCCAAAAGGATATCATAAGCACATAAGATGATGAAGTTGGAAACGCAACGGAAAAGCCCGGGATGAGAGGAAAAAGGGAGGCGGCAGTAACAAGGACATGAACAAATAGCAAAAAAAGGGGGCGTGGAAACAAGGATGAGGGCAACTTAATTTGCAACTTATACGCAAAATCCTTTTGATTTTGTTATGTCGCCGCTTAAAGGTCTTCAGTGTCCCCTGGTATATATCCTTGTTGTTGTGTCAGTGTGTGTGTGTATGTGTGAGTTTTCCAGCTCGCCTGCAGTTATTTGCCAAACTTAAGGGTGCAACCTTTTTGCCTTGTTTTCCCTGATTTTCCACGTTTCCTTTCAGCTGTTATTCGGTTTTGGCTTGGCCAAGTTTTCGTTTTCGGTGGAAAAAAGGTCCGCTGATCATTGTCCTTTTTGGGCCTATCCACAAACACACACCCACTTACACATATAGACGGAGACATATCGGGCTGCTGTTTAAGGGAATTTAAATTAAGCCTATGCAAATTCGCCCCAGGATGCTTTTCTTTCTTTAGCGCCTGTTTTTCTTTATTTTTTAACGGAGAATGAACCACCAACTGCTGGCCGTATTAACGCCGCATTATGGCTGCAGTCACGCCCTTTCTTGGATCCTCAAATTTTAAACAGTGAACGAGGAAAAAAGATATTTTAAGAATGTATTTAAATTTTTATGCTTATTTTTACTATTCAAATCTTTTTTTATTTGTTAAATATAACCCATGAAAAAATTAATTTATTCTTAAAAAAAACATATATTATTTTTATATCTTTTGATTTAATAAAAGTTCGTCAAGTCTTTCTCAACTAAGACCAGTTTATCCAGTTTCTACTGTGCACACATGAATCAGCGCCTTAATGTATGCTCTGAAAAATGCCATGAAAAAGTTTTTGCCATAAAAATTTGCTCGCTTTTTGGAGCGTCACATAGATGGGAATGAGGGAAAGGGAACGGGAAAGGGAACTGGAAATGGAAATGGTGGGAGAGAGAAAGTCCTTTGCCACTTGCTGCGGCGTGTCGCCTGTCACACAACAACTGCCCTATCACTCACTTTCCTCCACTTTCCCTCGCCGCTTTCTCCGCAGATAATGAAATTGTTGCGAGCGGAGAGAAAAAAGAAACTTTTGGCTGTGTTCTGTGTTCATCAGGCGAAGGCAGGCAAACATTTTAAATACAAAAGGATATGCGTGGGCCAGGACGAGGAGTCCTTTTACAGTGACATTGATGAAACGCTTGAAATTTACTGCGCTGCGACCTCCTCCTGGCCCCTTGCCACGCCTTCTTTTCTCTTTAAAATAAAGTAAAATGCACTCTAAGAAACGTAATCTAAGAAGGAAAACTTAACTGCAAAATGTTTTATAATTTTCCCATGAAAATAATGTAAAATATGAATTGCAAAGAAAACTTAAAAAAAAAATAAGAAATTACCTAAATTATTATTAATGTTCCATTTTTTCTTCCAGTGCCTAGGCCACCAATTTTTATGTCTTTTTTTAAACTTTGTGGTTTTCTCGCATCCTGGTCCTTGCTTTGGTCCTGTTTCAGTTTCTGCTGGCTGGCATTGTTGTGCTTACTTATCCCTGTCGAAAAATTGCCGAAACTTGGTGGAGCTCGTCCTTCGGGAGCAGGATGGGATTGGGTGGAAGGGGAAGGACGTGGGAGACTGGATGAATGAACGAATGAAAGGGAGCTCTCCAGCTCGTAGTCAGTGCATTTAGTCAAAAGTGATTGAAAAGGCATTTTGTTATAATGCCAACTTAATGACAACGAAATTACACCAAAAGCCAAGCCAGGGAAAAAGCAATGCCAACAACAATCGCTGCTAAGCAAAATGAGTTTTCAAATACTTTGAGACCGAAACTTTGTCTCCGCCACGCATAGAGCACCCGAAATACAACAATTTCCCGCTATTTTCCCTAGCTGCTATTTTTAATAGAGTGTGTGGGTGGACGCTTTTCCCCAGCGTTCTCGCCCCTGCTGTTTCCCCGAGACCCTCACGACTGTCCTGTCATGCTGGCAAAGCGTTTTAATTGTTTGTCGTGGCCCTAGATTTCCCAGAATGTTTAAGTAATCGAATCAAGGCTGAAATCTTCTTTAAGATTTACTCACTGCTGAAACTGATTGCGAAACATTTCGCCAACGGCTGCTAAACTGATAGAACTGAAGCTGAAGTGGGGATAATTAAATTCG